ACACACACACAATCAAACTCACACACACATATACACACACACAATCAAACTCACACACACACACACACACACAATCAAACTCACACACACACATATACACACACACAATCAAACTCACACACACACACACACACACAATCAAACTCACACACACACATATACACACACACAATCAAACTCACACACACACACACACACACAATCAAACTCACACAAACACACACTCGTTCACACACACACACACACACACACTCACTAGAGCGACTCAACAGCAGCAATGAAAAGCTCACAATCAATAACTCTTTTAATTATGTGGATTAACAGATCAATAATAACATCACTGACTTATTACACCTTTGTTTGGAGACGTCTCAGGATTTTCCTCAGATTATAACAGTTATTATAAAGGGTTATTACAGTTTACTACAACTAAAACAACAACTATTAACATTTTAGTTATTTGAAACTAAATAAACATTACCTGAAATAATTTTTTTTTTTAAACTTAACTTATTTATTTTTTATTTCATTTAATTTGCCAAATGCCAAGTTGACACCATTTCTCATTTTTATTTAGTTTGACACACTAAAATAACTACATTTACTTTAAAATGTACTAAAATACCTAAAACTGAAATTAAAATTAATATAAACTATGAAGACAATTAAAAAAAATAAAAATGACAAAAACAAAAATACTAAAATAACAACTAAACTGGAAAATATAAAATAAAAAACGATTCAAAATATTAATAAAAAGTATAATAGAATCTTAATTATATTAAAATAACACTTGTCATGTGACAAATGCACACTGATCCTTTAAGAGTCAAGTTTCTCATTGAGAGAATGATTGACAGCTGTGATGACATCACAACATCAATAATGCATACTGCATTTACTTGCATAATTAATTGTGATTGGTCTATTCTTTCCTGCATCTGTTGAATCATCTCTAGGTGTCCATCAGCAGCTGCTCATTTACCACGGTATCTCTGAGGTCACGACCCGCTTTAATGTGATTAGTAAATATGAGATGACACGATTTGATCTCCTCATTACTGAATTACTTTTTTGTGATCAACTTTTTGTTGTCTTTTACATATAACATCATCGCATCCAGTCAAACCAAACAAAAAAAAACAACAGACATACAATCAACAATTCAAAGAGTCCAGTCAAAGAGGAGAGAGAAAATATTCACTCCTTTATGTGATCGAGTATGCTAGAGGAAAAACATTGCCAAGCATCAATAGTACTAGGTTTGGCCTTATTAATTCGTGCTGTTGTACATTCACAAGTCACTGTTTTAAGGAGGCTATGGAGCACAAAACCAGTCATAAGGGTCAATTTTATGAAATTGAGATGTATGCATCATCTGAAAGCTGAATAAATAAGCTTCACATTGATGTATGGTTTGTTAGGATAGAACAATATTTGGCTGAGATACAACTATTTGAAAATCTGGAATCTGAGGGTGCGTCACATATGTTTTTCCACACATGTGCGGTGTAAACCAGTTCTGTATTATTGTCTTCTTTGCAGCTGTGAAACCAGCAAACAACATTCTCTTTTGTATTGAGCTTCTACAGAATCTAGAATCATCATAAACTTGGGTTAGCAAAGTAATCAATTAGTAGTAAGGAGGATTAATTATTACTTGATGCCACGACTGATGTGTGAAACGCAGTAATGTGAAATGAGCAAAGTTTCAGGGAATGAAAACACGTCTGCTTCTCTTACACGACCAGCACAAGCAGAAACAGCTCAGTCATATTAGCAGCTTTGCTTTATCCAGCAAACTAATGCGAGCAGCTCCGGATAAACCCGTGCATGAAGCGCTTCCATCTGTCATAATGAATCCAAAACTCTTAATCAATACGGGTTAGTGCGAGCAAAAACAGCTCCATCTAGCAGAGCATAATCCAATCCAGCCTCAAATGCAGTCGCGGCGCATTTCCCAAAACATGCATTCAATACAATACAAACTTTATTTTTATAGCACAATTAAAACAAATGCCGTTGACCAAATTGCATTCCAGCATCATTACCTACAGTCACACAAACACTCATCCCTGATCACTCTAATCAATTCTAAAAGCTCTACTAAAAAGGTACGATTTCAATCTAGACTTAAAAGCATCCACAGATGGGGAACATTTAATATGCATTGGTTCCAATATCGAGGAGCAGCCACTGAGAAAGCCCCGTCACCCTTTGATTTTAACGTCTGAACGAAGTGCGCGCTTCGCTTTGAAACCAGACTTGATGAAGGGATTAAGCCATATTGCACTTTCGGTTTTAGTTAGTTTGACAGATACTGTGTCAAAGCATAATGAAACATGTTAAAAACTACACTTTTTGCCCGGAAGGCCTATTGTTTCATACCGTCATGTGACCACGATAATATCGCGATATCATGATATTGATCACATCGTTACATCCCTACTTCCCATGCATGTGTGACCCGGCCTCACCTTCATCCGGATCGTTCCTCGCAGAGGCCTCCAGCAGAGCGATGCTCGCCGCAAACGAAACCCTCCTGTGGTTCTCCCGCAGGTTCCCGTGGCCGCGGCGTTTGTCGGCCTTGCGCTTCTTGTTCTGCATTTCCTTCTCGTAGACGGCCCATCGCTTGAGCTGCTGCGTGCGACGCTTCTGCGCGGCCCGGAGCCGTTCCAGACTGGGCACCTTATCCAGCTGCTGCAGCTCCGTCAGCAGCTCCAGGTGACTGGCCATGATGATGATGATGATGATGACGAAGGTGAGGCGGTGAATCTAACAGGGGCTGCAGCTCCCTGCCAAACCTCCACCCTTCCCACCCTTCCTGGAGGAAGACACAGATTATGATTCCGATCCCGACAAGAACAAACACGCAAAACACAAAGCAGCTCATAAAACCAGATCCGCCGGGTTTAAAGTGTGAAACTGTGATAAATCGCAGCATAAAACAATTAACAGTTTAGTGTTTGTAATACAATGCCACTAGGTTTCTACAGTATAAAGTTCATCAGCAGCACAAATAGTATTTCCAACATGCCGTTGGCTTCATGTTTGGAGAGCAGAAGATCAGATCCACACACACACGACACACTAGATCACAATGAAAAATTTTCTTGTTTGGTGACGTTTCCTCATATGTGCTCTAATATCGAAATAAATATTAATATTTATCAAAACAAATCTGCATGGTGAAAACAACAGGTGAATTGATGATTAATTTACTTCTGCTCTAATACGCCGTGTCTAAATGAAAACAGTCAGAAGAATCTGTGTTAAAAGGATGCATTTAAATGCAACGCAATTAAATATACTGGGCTTAAAATAAAATAAAAAATCATTAGTAATATGATCAAATATATTAAATATATAAATAAGATTTCCTGAAAAATTTATACTTTTATCCATCAAGGACACATTAAATTGATCAAAAGTAAATACATTTATAATGTTACAAAAGATTTTGGTTTCAAATAAATGCTGATCTTTTGAACTTTCTATTCATCTGTGAATCCTGAAAAATAAAATGTATCACAGTTTCCACAAAATAAACATATATCATTATTATATAATGATATATATGAATTGATATTATATAATGATATATATGTTTTGAATGAATTGGGTGAATTATTAGGCGCGTTGGATTTGAAGCGGCGCTTCACAGATCGATCGGTGTGAGACATCAAAAGCACCGCGAGAGCGATTCAAAAGCATCGCAGAGTCATCTGCTCTCGAATCACTCTCGCGGTACTTTGATGTCACACACCGATCGATCTGATGCTGATGATCCGCTTCAAGTCGAACAAGCTAATGATTCAATGAACCATTCATAAAGAGAACCATTTACTTCACTCCTGAATGAATCAGCCATTTGAATGAATCAAATGAATGAATGACTCGATGACATTTACTACCACCTACTGGCAGTTTTAGTTTATTATTTAGAGTATCATTTCATTAAAGAAATAATTTCATATTTCCATAGCAATAATATTAATAAAAATTATTAAAGGTATAGTTCACCCACCCAAAAATGAAAATTTTGTCATCATTTACTAAAAGAGTATATGTAAAAGATTTTATGTTGAATCAAACAAAATATTTCTTGCTGAAGCTACTTTTTGTAATGTCTGTTTGATGCTTTACACAACAATGACTTTAAATTATCTTTTGGGAGTAATTTCCCAGCCAAATTTGATGTGCGATTAATTAGATTAATTAATCGCCACATCATGTAATTAATTAGATTAAAAATTAGATTAATCGCTTACAAGCCCTA